GAAGAGCGACTGCTCCTGATTAGTCACCCGCCTGCCTGGCATGATCTCCTGTGAGACCAGAACTTCTGCAGTCCCCACTGCTCAGCCTCTCAGAGGCTGGGAGGCGGGCCCAGGCGACAGCCAGAAAGGAAGTAATAGGTGGGTAAGTCTGGACTCTTGGGGCCCACCACTCCCACCTCCAACCCCAACCGGCGGTGCCTGCAGGCCACCCGGCCCCTCACCTTGATCTCAGCCAGCTTCGTGCCGCGGCCGCAGTCCCACACGGACAGCATGTGCTCATTGGAATCGTCCACCACGCAGAGAAAAGCCCCCTGGTCCTGAGGGTGGGGACAGGCGGGAGGGGCTGAGTGAAGACCAGAGGTCTGGGAGTTCACGGTCATTAGGCAGCTCACACCATCACACGTGGGGAGGGGAGGAGAAGCGGATACACGTCCCTTTCCAGGAGAACCGGCTGGGCAAGGGTCAGGCAGGCCAGGATGTCTGAGACTTCCTGGTGAAGTGCGAGAAGGGGGTTCCCGGAGAAGAAAGATGGGGGTCTGGAGGCTTCGGGCCAGCTCACCACCACTGAAAAGGCCAGGGCCCCCACGCCCCGCTCGAAGGCCCCCAGTCCTATCTCCTGCAGCTTCAGCAGCGTCTCCGAGTCCCACACGTGAACCACAGGCTGCAGGGGCTGGAGCGGAAGAAGAGGTCAGGCGGGGGGGGGGGGGGGGGAGGACAGCTGGGCGAGAGGTTCCTCCTGCCCGCCTGGGTTTGAGTTTGGCCTTACCTTCCCATCCTTATCCACTCCAGCTGTCTGTCCTGAGGCGACGCGAACACCATCAGGGTGGACGGCCAGGCTACGTGGGGGAGCAGATGCTCTAAGGAAGGGGGTGGGTCTCTCAAGGCCACCCAGGCCGCCTCTCTAGGCTTGCCGAGCAGCAAGGCAACGCCTCTCTCCTGCTCCTCCACACCCGCCCAGGCCCCCTGTCTGCCACGCCCAGCATCCCCATGCCTAGAGCTGCCCACTCCCGGGCCCCGGGCTCCGGGCCCCTCACCATCGAACGCAGTCCGTGTGGCCCCGGTAATGTCTCTGGCCGCCACCTCCAGGACCCCCTGGGCCTCCCCCAGGCCGGTACAGCACCACCACACAGGCGATAAAGTAGACCACCTCCCCAGAACGCAGCACAAACAGATTAGAGCGGGAGTCACGACCCCTGTACCCGTAACTGGAGTGGGCATTGCGGTCAAGGAAAGGGTCAGACCAAGGGCAGGATGAGGAAGAGAGGAGAACAGAGCTTCTGGCTGGCAGTGCTACTGGCAGAGGATGGTAAGAGAGGATTCAGGGGGTTCCCGTCCCTGCAGAGCCAGGAGGAAACCATAAACGGGGGGGGTGGGGGTCCCAAGATGGGAAAGGTGGTTCCCATGGGCCTGGAGGGGGCAGGATACACCCAGTCAAGGCTGAGGGTCTCCGGGGGCGGGCCGCTGGGCAGCTCCTCAAGGCTGCGGATGCCAGATGGGATGTACATGGTAATTGGGCGGCCGCGAAGGAACATCTTCACTGAGATGCCTTCTACAGAGAGAAGGGGGGTGTCAACCACCACCCTGCAGCCCCCCCAGGAAAGCCAGAGCAGAACTCTACCCGCCAGACCTCACAGGTCGCCCCAGAGTAGCTCTTGGGGCTCTAGCCCAAACCCTAACTCTTTCATCCAGATTCTTCCAGATGCTTCTGCACTTACCCAAATTGTAGTTGTTCCTCCGAGATCCCGGGCCCCCAGGGCTGGAGAGCGGGTCTTTCCCCCCTCGGCTGTTGGGAAGACAGAAAAGCATAGGGTTTGGGGTCAGGTCCCGAGATACACGTGCAAAGGGGCCGAGCACAGAAGGGAGGCTACTCGAGGCCACAGTCACCCCCGCAGTCACGGTCTGCGTTCCGGGCACCCAGGCCCTAGAGTAGGCGGGACTTCCGGCTCCATCTCAGACACAAGCCCGTGAGGCTGGGGGCTGAGCACATGGCACCAGGCCATAAAGCTTGCAAGACGCAATGTGGAGTGACAGGGAGGAGCCCTTTCCTCCAGACCCGTGGTCGGCAAACTGCGGCTCGCGAGCCACACGCGGCTCTTTGGCTCCTTGAGTGTGGCTCTTCCACAAAATACCACGTGCGGGTGTGCATGTACAGTGCGACGGAAACTTCGTGGCCCATGCGCAGAAGTCGGTATTTTGTGGAAGAGCCACACGCAAGGGGCCAAAGAGCCGCGTGTGGCTCTCGAGCCGCAGTTTGCCGATCACTGCTCCAGACCATCAGGCCTCTGGCTATGGAGCTTTTCACGTCCCCATCCAAGAAATGGGACAAAAATGAATCCAGAATGTACCCCAGGCCTGCCCTTCGGGGCTCTGGGAGGTAAGCAAGAAAGCCCTTCTCTCTCAGAGGAAAGTAACAGAATTCCAGAGATCACCGTCACAGGTGATAAAGGGTGGTGACACCTCTGCAGAGAAGGAAGGAGACCAAGGGCAGGGCTAGAATGACCACTCCCTGCCCCGAGGCCTGTCCACGCTCTGAGGCAGCTACACTCAACCTCGGGGACTTGCCTTTGCTCTAACAGTCGAGTCTGGTAAGTTGGAGAAAGGGGAGGGGCTGAAACTCTGAGAAGAGTCATCCATGAAAATCATGGAAGCTTCTGCAAAAGCCTCTTGGCATCTCAAGAGGTGTACAGTGATGAGGAGGAAAGGGCAAGGGACTAGAGTCAGGGAGAGTTGCGTTGGAGGCCTGCCTCTAGCTGTGTGACCCCAGACAGATGACTTACCCTCTCTGAGCCCGCCTCCTCACCTGGACAGTGAACAGCATGAGACCACCTACCCCCCAAGGATGCCGTGGGACTGAGTGAGATGGAGGAGGTCGAGGACTTAGCACAGTGCCCGGAACACAGCCGGCCCCCACGCGTGCTGGTTCCCTTCTTCCTGTTGGGCAATGAGGCCCCCCCACCCCACCCAGGGAAGCCAGTGAGGGATGAGGAAAGTCAAGAGCCTGGGCCTGGGGTGGGGCAGGTTGGGGAGCCTCGCCCACCTCTCTGTGCTCCCTGACCGCAATAACAGGTTGGCCGAGGACGCTGCCTTCCGGGAGAGCTTCTGTCGAGGCCGCTCTGAGGGCGATGAAGAGGAATTTCTCCGCGCCCTGAGAGGAGCAATGAGCAGGTGAAGGTCATCCCCTCTAACCATGCTCCCCAGTCCTCTCCCGGCCAACCCCCCCTAACCCCTCGCCCCTCGGCCACAGGACACTCACGTGTCGGTGCACTGGGGGGGCTGTACAAGCCTGAGGATGCCAGGAGAGCCTGTGCCCCCCGGGGAGCCAGCGCCCCCAGGGGAGCCAGTGCCACTGCTGCTGCTGCCCCCTCCTTCAGACTGGGTTCCACTAGGCTCTTCACTGCCCCCCTGAGGGGCCGCGGGCCCATTGCTCAGGCCAGGGGTTCCTGGGGATGCCTCCATCCCCACCTCGGAATCTGTCTGGGTGCCTCGGCTCACCAAGGAGGGGCTGCGCGGGGGTGGCAGTCCTGGGGGGGCTGCAGGGCTGCTGAGGAGACAGGGAATCAGTCCATGCCCGCTGAGCCCCAGGAAGGAGGAAGAGGGGTGACGACAGGCATACCTGGCCCTGACAGGGTCCTGCAGGGAAGGGGCGGGCGCCTGCAGCCGAAGCAGGCGCAGGGCTTCGGCCAGGGCGGCCTTCACCAGCTCCATCTCCTTCTCCTGCACCTGGAGCCGCTGGCTCAGGGCCTGCAGGGCCTGCTGAGCAGGGCCCTCGCCTGGGAAAGGGGAAGGCGCGCTCAGAGGCCCCGCACCTGGGGAAGCTGGAGGCTTCTTTCTCCCCGCAGCTTTGCATGGGTGCAGGAGGACTGCGGCCCGAGGGGAGGAGACGGCGCGGAGGGCCCAGGGCCTCCTCCTGGCGGGCAGGCGAGGAAGCTGGCAGAGCGCCTTTCCTGCCGCCGTCCAGGCCTCCGCCGGGCAGGCCGGACCGGGAGCGCGGGGGGAGCGCGGAGTCCTGCCCGCGGGCGTGGGAACCACCGCGGGAGCCGCAGGACGGGTGAGGGCCACGGGCCACCCGGAGCAGCTCGGTCTCCGGGGAAGGCGGGAGCCCGAGCAGGCAGCCCCGGGACAGAGCGGGGCCACGGGGTGAGGACCAGGAGGAGAAATGCAGTGACAGGAGAGGGCACCGGTGCAGACAGAGCCACGGGGCAGGTCCCGGGGAACCGCTGGGGGTCAGAAGCAAAAAGACACGAAATAGCAGGAGAGGCCCAGGTGCCTGGGGGCCGGGGGACATCCAGGTGCGGAGCAACAGGGGGTGGGGGTGGGGTGGGAGGATGACGCGGGTACGTCCGAAAGGACAGCAGCAGAGGCCCAAGGACCGGGAGGGCGACCCGAGGGCCGTGGAGGATGCTCCAGCCCTGGGGCCGCGGAGCACGCGGGCGCCCCTGGACGGCCGTCGGGCACCAGCAGCGCCGGACCGGCCGGCCGCGCGCTCCGGGAAGGGGCTCGCCGCCCGCCCGCCCCGTACTCACCGGGCCCCCCGGCCCCATCCATCCGGCCCCCGGGCTGGCTCCGAGCGGCGGCAGCGGAGGAGGCGTCTAAGCCGCGGGGGCCATGGCCCGGGAGAGGGGAAGGGGAAGCACCCTGGGGCGCGCGGGGCGCCGGGCCACCCCCTGGGGGCGCTGTCGGGCTCGGGGAAAGGGGCTGGAGGGGGCGGGGGCGCGGGCTCGGGCCCGCCGGGGCCTCGGGCTCTCCCGGGGCCGCTCTGGGCTCCCGGGGGTGGAGTGGCGGGGCCGTCGCGGGCCCCAGCGCCGCTGCACAAACAGGCGCCGGACGCGGAGCCGCCAGGAAGCGCGGGAGGGGGGGCGGGCCGAGGGGGGGGCCGGGCCGCCCGGTAACCCCTCCCTGTCCGGGCCCCGCGGCTCAGCAAGGGGCGGGGCCAACCCGCTGACCCCCCGGCCCCCGGCCGGCCTCCGCCCTCGGGGCCCTTCCGGGATCTCCGCCCCCGGACTCCCTGGGGACGCGGAGGGCGCGTGGACCTCGAGGTCTCCGCCCCCGGCCCGCCGCCCCCGGCCCCCCGGGGCCCAGCCGACCAGCCCCTCCCCCTTCCGGGAGGGGCCGGGGCGGGGCTTTCCCCAGGGGCCAGGCCGAGGCATCCCGAGTTGGCGCGGGCCGGGGCGGGCGCCGGGCGATTACGGCTGGGGGGGCGGGCGCCCAGGGTATTGGGGTCAGGGTGGCATTAGCGCAGCTCAAGCCGGGCTGGGCTGACTCAGCGCCTGGCCCCGACAGCCCGTCCCTGCCAACCCTGCGCTTCCCGGGGCGGAGATGGGAGATGGCGCCCGTGCTGCCCCTGGCGCTGCCGCTCCAGCCCCGCATCCGGCTGGCGCAGGGGCTCTGGCTCCTGTCCTGGGTGCTGGCGCTGGCCGGTGGCCTCACCCTCCTGTGCAGCGGGCACCTCCTGGTCCAGCTGTTGCACCTTCGCACCTTCTTGGCTCCCTCCTGCCCGTTCACGGCCCTGCCGCAGGTGGCCCTGGCCGCGGGAGCCGTGGCTCTGTGCACCGGACTGGCGGGCGCGGGAGCCAGCAGGGCCAGTTTGGACGCAGCTCAATACCCGCCCTGGCGAAGGGTCCTGGGCCCCCTGCTGGTGGCTGGCACGGCTGGGGGTGGCGGGCTGCTGGTCCTCGCCCTGGCGCTAGCCTTAGCTCTCCCTGGAAGTCTGGACACGGGGCTGGAGGAGGGCCTGGGCGCTGCCATGGCTCACTACAAGGACACGGAGGTGCCTGGGCACTGCCACGCCAAGCGGCTGTTGGATGAGCTGCAGCTGAGGCACCACTGCTGCGGGCGCCATGGGTTCAAGGATTGGTTTGGGGTCCAGTGGGTCAGCAGCCGGTACCTGGACCCCAATGACCAGGAGGTGGTTGAGTGAGTGACCTGCTCCTCTCCTCCCCCCCCCCCTCCTCCATCCTTTAAAACCCCACCCACCCAGCCGGGCAACACATAGAGCTTAGTGACTGAAGGGATGGGTGACAGCTCCGCCATCTATTTCTGTGTGGCCCAGGGCAGCTGCCGAACGCCTCTGGGCCCGTGTCCTCATCTGTAGAATGGAGGTGATGACAGCATGTCTCACAGAACTGCTGTGGAGACAGATGAACTGTGCCTGCCTGGCACACAGGAAAGCAGTTAGAAATGTCTCCTCTCATTGTCCAGTGTCAACTGTGCCTGCAGCCTCTCCCCCAGGCCGCTGGCTCCAGACACCCTAACCCTGCCCCTCCCCTCCCTTCCCTTCGCAGCCGCATCCAGAGCAATGTGGAAGGCCTGTATCTGACTGACGGAGTCCCTTTTTCCTGCTGCAACCCCCACTCACCCAGGCCTTGCCTGCAAGACCGGCTCTCAGACCCCCACGCCCACCCCCTCTTCGATCCCCGTCAGCCCAACCTAAACCTCTGGGCTCAAGGATGCCACGGGGTGCTGCTGGGGCACCTGCAGGGGCTGGCGAGCACACTGGGCAGCCTGCTGGCTGTCACCTTCCTGCTGCAGGTGAGTCAGCAAAGTGTCTAAGGCCTCCCTCCACCGGGACTCCTCACTGCCTCCAACCCTGGGGCCCTGGACCCGCTGACCCGCACCGACCTCTTCCCCTTGCTCTCCCCAGACTCCGGTGCTCCTGGGCCTGCGGTACCTGCAGACGGCACTGGAGGGGCTTGGAGGAGTCATCGATGGGGCAGGGGAGACCCAGGGCTATCTCCTGCCCGGGGGGCTGAGGCACAGGCTGAGAACTGCCTGGCTGCAGGGCGGGGCTGCCCACAGGCCAGCACCCGGGGAGGCCCCTGCAGAAGAGGCACCGCCTGGGGGGGATCCGCCTGAGGCCTAGTGGCCTGGAGCTGGGGCTGGGGGTCGGGCAGAGGGAGAAGGGGTGGAGAAGCAGGAAACCTCACAACTCTTTTGCCAAGGCCCCTGGTGGGGAAGTTGTGTGTGTGTGTGTGGGGGGTCCCTGGGATTAGAGCGGTTAAGAATAACTAGCAAGCTGGACGGGGTAGGAGAAAAAACGAGGGGTCTGAGGACCTAGAGCAGCCCAGAAACAGAAATCCCAGGAGGTGGGCAAGCGGCACGGGAGGCTGCGAGCTTCCCTGCGGACTCAAGGAAGCTTCCGGACTGAAGCCGCTGGTCTGCTCCTCAGGGGCGGGTCCCTGAGAGAATGGCTTTCTGTCTGAGAGAGAAGCCAGGAGGCCAGGGTTTTGACCCGGTGGGAATCAGAACACAGAAACAGACTAATAAAACGAAAAGAATGAGAGGCCACTGCAGGTTGAGATTGTTTTATTCTGGAGGTAGGAGGGGTCAGCATGCTCAGGTGGGGAGGGTCCAGCCCAGCTCCTCCAGCCCCCCGCCCCCGTGCGTGCCCAGCCCCAATAAGTTACCCAGTTACTCAGCTGCCCTCCCTCCTGAGTCTGTCCGTCCTGCTCCGCCCCAGACAGGGCTGACCGGGCTCAATACAAGGGCTGCTTGTCCCCAGCTGTGGGCAGTGCCACATGGCAGGCTGGGGGCGGGGGAGCAGCTGGGCTGAAACGGCAGAGGGGCCGCCCTGGCTCTGAGGGGTCAGGACGTGGAGAGCTGCACCCTGGCAGCCAGGGGCCCAGCCCCACAGGTCTGTGCCTGGCGAAACAGCAGTCAGGTGGCGCATCCATCACACCTCCATGGCAGGGTCTGAGCCTCGGCCCTGCCGCTGTAGCTGCTCCTCCTGCTTCATCTTGGGCTTCTCCGTCCGCGTGTGCCACACCAGGACCTGCCCCGGGAGGACTCCGTCAGAGCCGGGCCCAGCCCGAGCCAGGCCTCTGGGCCCTCGGTGTGACCGGATTCTCCAACCCCCTCTACACAGCGTGGGAGCCTCGGTGCCTCGAAAATGGGGCCTTAACCCCTTAACCTCTGTGGGCCATGCAGGTGCCCAGGACGCTGGGAGACAGAGTGGCAGGGCCCCACTGTCCTCCTCTGGCTCCCGCTGCCCTTCAGGAGAGTAAGCAAGGCTGCAGCTGAGTTCTGAGGGTGAGGGTCCCTCCTGCTCAAACACCTGCCCCGGGATCCTCCTCCCAGGGCCTCACCCCACTTCTCCCATCCCCTGTCCACCCCAGAGCTGCGTGCCCACCTCCCTCCTCTTACCCGGGTGCAGTTGGCAGCCCGTGGCTCCAGGTCCTTGGGGTCCACCAGGTGGCTCAGGAGACTGCTCTCCAGGTGGCCCCGGGGAGCGGTTGCGTCAAACTGGGCATTGGGCTTAGCCAACAGCAAGGGCAGGGCCACTGCAAATCCCGCCATATCCACTGGGAACGGCCGGTTGGGCTCCCACGCCGTGTGGAAGCCCACAACCCGGCCGTCCTGTACCCGCGGGCCCTCGAACCGCAGGCCGCCCACCAGCCCCACAGGCCACACGGAGACACCGCGGGTCCAGCGCATCTAACAGAGGTGGGGAGACAAGAGACAGACAGGGAGTGGCCCAGCGGACAGGGAGCAGCAGGAAGGACCACTTGGGTCCTCTGCTCCATGTCCCCCCTCCTCACCCAACAGCCTAAGGCAGTGATGGCGAACCTTTTGAGCTCGGCGTGTCAGCATTTTGAAAAACCCTAATTTAACTTTGGTGCCGTGTCACATATAGAAATTTTTTGATATTTGCTACCATAGTAAAACCAAGATTTATATTTTTGATCTTTATTTTATATATTTAAATGCCATTTAACAAAAATCAACCAAAAAAATGAGTTTGCGTGTCACCTCTGACACACGTGTCATAGGTTCGCCATCACTGGCCTAGAGCAACAGTGATAACCAAGGCAACAGAGGAAGCTGGCCCACGGCCCCTTTCCCGGCCCTCCCCGTGCTCACCTCCTCAAAGAGTTCCCGGCTGTAGGTGTTGTCATCATCAGCAAAGTACACAACTCCCCGGGTCCCCGGGGGCGGAGGGTCCTTCTCTCCCCCGACAGCGCCCCCTCCGCTCCGGAGCCAGTCCAGAGCCCTGTTCCGTTGCTCTACACCGCGGGGACGAACCCAGCCTGGCTCGCCCTCCCGGAGCCTCTGGGCCTTGGGAGTGAGGACAGCCAAGTGTGTGAAGAGGAGGCCAGAGGCAGCCAGCAGCCTGGAGACCAACGGGGTGGGGCCCTCAGCGTCCTCCACCAGCAGCCAGTGCAGCCGGGGCACCAGACTCAGGGTCTGGGACAGTCGCACCAGCTCGGCCTTCTGTACCAGCCTGGAGGGGGAGAGGCAGCAGCAGGGAAGGGGGCAGCCACCAGCTGCCACTCCAGCCAGCTAGCAGACACAGCTTCTCCCGACCCCCTTCTGGCATCCCCAAGGCCTTTCCCCAACTCCTTGTCTTGCCGTCAACTTCACAGGGACACTCACCTGCCCTGTCCTCCCACTCATGTGTGTCACCCACCTCAGCCCTGGGAGGCACTCGGGGAAGGAATCACATCTGGTTTGAATGCCAGGTTTGTAATTAGGGGCGACATCTGGGGGAAATGGCTCACTCTCCCCAAGTCTGTTTCCTTGGCTGTAACATGGGAAGGACAGGACTCTACAAGGTGGTTTTAGAGATTAGATAAGATAATGGTTTTCTAAAACACTGGTGGGACCAGGTCCTTTTCCTTCTGTGCTTGGGTTTCCAGGGAGAGGGCTCTAGGGGAGTCCCTTGACTCACTCGACTCACTCACTCCTCGTCAGGGGAGGATGGCTTATCCGCGTTTAGACAAAGAACTGGGAAGTGGGGCCAGTCTCTTCTAGGGTTCTTTCTCCCTCAGATCGGCCTGCCGGCCACAGGCTTGGTGGTGGTGGTGGTGGTGGTGGTGTGTGTGTGTGTGTGTGTGTGTGTGGTGTGTATTGGGGGGGGGGGGGTGTTCTAGAGCGGCCCGTGCCTAGATGGCTCAACCATCTGATTCCAGGGAGCAATTAGCAGGCCCTTTGGCTGTAGATCCCAAACCACAGTTTCCCACTTGATTTGTGTGAGTAATAAAGGCTACATTTTAATTAAAAACAAAAAAAGCACAGCATTTAGCCCTGGAACTTGTGGGTTCAATGCAATTCCTGGTCAGGGCACATGTCCAGGTTGCAGGCTCGATCCCCAGTAGAGGGCATGCAGGAGGCAGCCCATCAATGTTTTGCTTTCCCATTGATGTTTCTCCTCTTTCTCCCTCTCTCTCTCTCTAAAAATCAATTAAAAATATATATTTTAAAAATAGTGCAGCCCTTAGCACAGTGCCTGGTAAGAGTAAACACATTGTAAATATCTAATGTAACTATTTCTAGACCCTGGTAAAAACTACCAGACTAAGTCCTTCTCCCTTTTTGAAATAGTTTAAAAAAAATTTTTAATCCTCTCCTAGGTTAAATTTTTATTGATTTTATAGAGAGAGGGAGAGGGAAAGAGAGAGACGTAGGTATGAGAAAGAAATATCGCCCCCATTGGGGGATATGTGCCCACTGGGAATCGAACCTGAGACCCTTCAGTGCATGGGATGACACTCCAACTGAGCAACACCAGCCAGGCAGAACCAAGCCCTTGTCTACTCCAAGCTAGATAGGGTTCTCAAACTTTCTCACCAAAGGATCCCTAAGGAGAGAGAGTGAATTCCGTGGCAAGCTCCAAATTTCTTTGAAACGATATTGTTCTATCTTAAAATTTCTCAGGGATTTTGTGTCCCACTTCATAGCACACCCCTATCTCTTTTAGTAGAAAATAACCATTTTCCCACAAGTTTTTGAGTAAAGATGTGGTTCATTTCCCTTGTCATTTGGCACGCCCTAGTTTGAGGAACATTCCCTGGCCCAATGCCTCCCCCAAATCCTCTCCATCAACGCCCACCTCTTGGTCCATGCAAGCCTCTTGGGTGCACCAGAGCCCATACCTGGCATAGGTGGGGGTAACAACATAGATAGTAGGCAGGGCCTCAGGCTCAGGGGGCTGGGCAGGGGCAGGGGCTGGACGATGGAGGTCAGCTTGCAGCTGGGAAATCCTCAGATCCTTCTGCCGAAGCTGCTCTGCTGCTGCCCGCAGCGGGGGGAGGCAGTCACATGGCTGGCCTGGTCCCAGGAAGCAGGGGTCGGGGCAGAGAACCGAAACACAGCACGTTCAGTGTCCCAAAGGCCCATCATGTCATCCCATCTAGTGCAGGAATCGCCTTACAACCTCTCAGACAGCCCTCTACACCGCCTCCATCAGCATCCCCTCTCCAGCTCCAATAAGTCCCATCTGTTGCCCTTTTCATTCGGATACTGAGCTGATGCTCTGCCTCCATCCTTCCTCCCCGCTGGTTCTAATTTTGCCTCCTGGGGCCATAAAGAAGAAGTCTATCTCCCTAAGCCCGGGCGGTCTCAAACACCGGAGGGTCAGCAGTGGCCCTGTCTGTGTGACCGAGGACTCATTAAGCTGATAGTTCCATTGCTGGATAAGCATTTACTGAGTGCTCCTCCGGGAGGCGCTGCCTTCGGCTGGGGAGGCAGCAGGGAGCGAGGCAGACGCGCTCCCTGGAGGCGGGCACTACGCAAAGAACAACACTGCAAATTGTGATAAGGGCCAAGGAGGGAGCACACAGGTTAGAGCCCAAGAGAGAACCCAGAAAAGGCAGCGCTCGGCTAGATGCGGCAGGGACGGCTCGGCGGCGGTGACCCTGGGGCGAGACCTGCGGGCTGGGAAGGCCGGGGAAGCACCGCAGGCGGAGGGAACGGGTGAAGAGCTTGGAGAGCAATGAGCGTGCGGGTTCCGTGACTGTCACGGAGCCAGAGTGACCGGAGCAGAGCGAGCGAGAGGGTTGGGAAACGGGGTGACGGCGGCGGGACCGTGCGGGGCCCTGAACGCAGGAAGGAGCCCGGATTGCCGAGGTGCGGGGGAGCCGGGCTGCGCTCCAGCGAGGGGCCCGCGCCCGGCGGCCGCGGAGGGGGTGTCGCAGGGCCGCGCCGGGTGAATGGGGTCCGCACCCCGCTCATCCCCAGGGTGGGGAGCATCCCGCCCCGCCCCGCTCACCGAGCTGCACCAGCGCGTAGAGGAGGCCGGCGATCGACACTAGGAAGTAGACGAGAAACACGTTCTTCAGCTTCAGCTTCATGGCCGAGCCGCCGCCGGCGACCGGGCAGGCGGGGTCCCGCCGGGACGAGGGGTCCCGCCGGGGCGAGGGGTCCCGCCCCCGCCGGACAGCCTGCAGGCCCCGCCCCTGCAGCGGCCCCGCCCCGCGGCCCGCCTTCCGCGCGCTCCCCTCGACCAGCTCCCGGGAACTGGGGCTGGGGAGCCGGCCCGGGCCCACATCCGGTCAGTCTGGAACACCCCCAGCCCCCCGGGTTCACTTCCGGTCCCACCGCCTCGTTCTGGGAACCTCGGGAGGTGACGTCATATCCGGCGTGTCGAGCGCCCTGGGCGGCTGTCAAGGAGCCGGTGGGAGCACGTGGGCGGGGCTGGGAGGCCTTCCCCTTGAAGTCCCGCCCTTGTGCCCAGGTTTTCTCCTTCTATTCATCCCCCCACCCGTCAGTCACAGCCCCAGTCACAGTAGCTCAGTAAGTACTTGTTACCGGAGTGACGGAAATCCAGGGCCTGTCCTGTGTTCTAGGTTCGTCTCATACAGTCCTCGCCATAATCCTAGGCGATAGATGGTATTGCCTAATTTATAGATACGCAACTAAGATCAACAAGTTATGTGTCAACGTAAGAAACAATCAGGCCTGCAGAGAAGTTTTGTGAGTTGAAACTGTCAGACAATTGCCAGAAGCAAAATTTCTATGAATTGAGAACATACTCCAGAGAATGGCAGTTTTGCATCTTCTTTTACACATGACAGAAGACATAGGTGGGCTACCTGAAATCTATTGGTGATAGGTTAGGGAGCCAGGAGAAAGCAAAATGAGGAAACCTTTGGGATCGAATAAAAAGTAAAGTGATAGACACACACTTCTTTTGCGTAGGGGGTACAGGATAGTTAATAGTCAACAATTAATTCAGGCCCTGGCCGGTTTGGCTCAGTGGATAGGGCGTCTGCCTGCGGACTGACTCAAGGGTCCCAGGTTTGATTCCGGTCAAGGGCATGTACCTTGGTTGCAGGCACATCCCCAGTAGGGGGTGTGCAGGAGGCAGCTGATCGATGTTTCTCTCTCTTCGATGTTTCTATCTATCCCTCTCCCCTCCTCTCTGTAAAAAATCAATAAAATATATTTTTTTAAAAAACACAATTAACTCAGTACGAGGGGATTTATGGTTTCCACTCTGGTTCCGTACCTGTGCTTTGAGGGTTGGAGGGAAAAGAAAATTACTTTGACCTTCCAAAGGTGTGTTATCTAGATGCAAAAGGCAACAGACAAGGCTTAATGAAGGTGAAAATGGAACTTTGTCAGGAACATGGCTACCCACCATAATAAACTGCGTTTAGTTAAGAAGTTTTACTTTCAGACCATCCTGTGTGATTACGTCAGGTCTCTGAGTTTGTGAGGCCACCACACAGGCCTTCCCTGAGCGCGTCAGGCTTACTATGTGGCCTCTTTCCATCCATATATGTCATTGCCGTTGTGCAATTTTCTACATCCTTTCTAGATACATGATTCCAGGTATTCTCTGACCCACATTTCTCAGATGATGGTGGGGGCTTAATGAGGGCAGGGGTGGGGGGCAAGGCAGTGAGCTGTCTCCTAGGGAACTGACTGAAATATTTCCTGAGTTGAGGAATTTAATAAACACATCCTCTAACTCCTGAAATGAAGCAAAGTTTTGCCACCCAAAATATGCCTTTTGGGGATATGATTTTAAGCTGATTATTTTTAAGAAATGACTCAAGCCCAGCCGGCATGGCTGTGGTTGAGCGTTGACCTGTGAACCAGGAGATCAGGATATGATTCTGGAGGGCACATGCCGGGTTGTGGGCTCGATCCCTAGTGTGGGGCATGGTGCAGAAGGCAGCTGATCAGTGATTCTCTCTCATCATTGATGTTTCTCCCTCCCCCCGTCTCCCTTCCTCTCTGAAATCAATAGAAAAATATTTTTTAAAAATGACTCCAGAGGAGTCTTTTACCTCCCCCTGACCTGCCTAAAGGAATTCAGAGACAGAAAAACCTGCTTACAGAAAGGGAACTGTCACCTTAGGGCAGTGATGGCGAACCTATGACACGTGTGTCAGAGGTGACATGCGAACTCATTTTTTTGGTTGATTTTTGTTAAATGGCATTTAAATATATAAAATAAATATCAAAAATATAAGTCTTTGTTTTACTATGGTAGCAAATATCAAAAAATTTCTATGTGTGACACGGCACCAGAGCTAAGTTAGGGTTTTTCAAAAACGCTGACACGCCGAGCTCAAAAGGTTCGCCATCACTGCCTTAGGGTCCTAAGAGCTAAGAATGGCAAGTCTGTTACACTCCCCTCTGCCTCCCATTGTTTCTGGGTGGCCAGGCAAGGATTTGTTTACCAAATGTTTGCTCTTTCTCATCTACCTGTGAATCGCCTACTTTCCATTTGAAGTCCCAGACTCCTGCCTCCCTCTGCTCTGGGCTTGTGGACCTTAACTGCCTGATTTATCCTCAGGTCCCATATTCTCACAGACCCGAAGGTTATTTCCTCCTAATAATCTCATCCAATTTATTAAACAAGTCACAAATTAGAAGTGTAAAAGCTATTTTCCCTCCCCACACTCATTAGGTACAAATCATCTGCCAGTGGTTCTCAACCTTCCTAATGCCACGACCCTTTAATACAGTTCCTCATGTTGTGCTGACCCCCAATTTCATTGTTACAAATTGAACATAATGAAAGCATAGTGATTAATCACGAAACAGTATGTAATTATATATGTGTTTTCCGACGGTCTTAGGCGACCCCTGTGAAAGGGTCACGACCCACAGGTTGAGAACCGCTGAAGCAGTCATTTTTCCCTTAAAAAAAAAACAAGCTAGTTTTCTTGTAAAATCATCTCTAAGACTTGTGGTCAGTCTACAAAATGGAAAATTATTTCCTGTCACTAAAGCAGTGGGAACATTTTTTAAAATGCTGCTAGCTGATGGTGGGCAGTAACGTCCTAGGCCAGTATCTTCACTGACAAGGGCAACCTTTACCTTAACGGAGCCTGTCTGTCCTTTTGCATCTATGATAACACACCCTTGAAATGTCTGGGTAACTTGTAACTTCCCTTTTTCTGGAGCCCCTGGAGCACAACCAAATGTGCTGGGCGCCAGGACAGAGACCACAAATTCCTTCATTATCATGTTAATTGATCCTGCACCCACCTAAGTATGTGTCCTTCATTTTACTTTTTATCCAATCCCAGGGGTTTCCCTGCTTTGCTTTATTCCTCCTCCTTAATCTATCACCAATGAATTCCACGTAACCCACCTACATCCCTCCTTTGATTGCAATGTATAAATACAAATGTAACCCCGCCATTCTCCGGAGCATTATCTCAATTCGCTGAGGTTCTGCTTCCCGGCGTATGTGGACAGTTTGGCTCAAATAAACTCACAAAAATTCTTTTAAAAATAAATAAATAAATAAAATAAAATGCTGCTAGCTAAAGAGAAGCAGCCTTCAGTGTGAACATCTGGTCATATAGCTATTTCTCTTCAAGAGGGACCCCATCAGCCCTGGTCACTATTAAATAGGCCTACCAAAACCTTGTCACCAAAAATATCCAAACCTGTAAAGAACTTTAGTTTATTTGAGCCAAACTGAGGACAGACACCAGGAAGCAAGTCCTCAAATGCTCTGGAGAATGGCAGTTTTGCAGCTTATTTTATACGTTAAAATCAAAGACGTAAAGAAGGTGCATGAAACCCACGGGTGGTCGACTAAGGAGCATGCATAGCAGGGAAATATCTAGTATTGGGTAAAAGGCAAAATGGGGAGACACACACTTGTTTACATGGGGGGGCTCAGGACAGCTACTAAGATTTATAGCACCTAGACCAGGGGTGGGCAAACTTTTTGACTCGAGGGCCACAATGGGTTCTTAAACTGGACCGGAGGGCCGGAACAAAAGCATGGATGGAGTGTTTGTGTGAACTAATATAAATTCAAAGTAAACATCGTTACATAAAAGGGTACGGTCTTTTTTTTTTTTAGTTTTATTCATTTCAAACGGGCCGGATTCGGCCCGCGGGCCGTAGTTTGCCCACAGCTGACCTAGACACAGTATGCAAGGAACGTGTTTCATGCTCCGGTCCTGTGACTGCACCTCCCAGGGGTAGGAAAAGAAAATTACTCTGACATTTCAAAGGTATGTTACCCGCCCTGGCCCGTGTGGCTCAGTTAGTGGGCAACCTCCCATGCATTGGTTCGATTCCCGGTCAAGGTACATGCTCTGGTTGCTGACTCAATCCCTGGTAAGGGGTGTGTGGGAGGCAGCCCATTGATGGGATGTTTTTCTTCCTCTCCCTTCCTGTCTCTAAAAATCAATTAAATTAAAAAACACACACACAAAGGTATGTTATCTTAAATAGACAGAGTCCTGGCTGGGTGGGTCAGTTGGTTGGAGCATCATCCCATACACCAAATGCTGCAGGTTCAATTCCAGGTCAGGACATGTACCTAGGTTGGGGGTTCAGTCCCCAAATGGGATGCATGTGTGTGTGTGAGCAATCAATATTTCTGTCTCTCCCTTCTTTTCTCTAGAAGTTGATGGAAACATGTCCTCTGGTAAAAATTAAAATATTAAAAAGACAAAGCTCATGTTTAGATTGACCTTTGCTAAGGAAGATATAGGCCAAAGATGTGACTACCAGCTATGACCTTCCCAGTGTGGAATTTGTGATCAGACCATCCTGTGTGGCACCTTTACACACACACACACGTATATATGTATATTTTAAAAATTGACTTCAGAGAGGGAGAGGGATAGATAGAACATCAATGATGAGAGAGAACCATTGATCAGCTGCCTCCTGCACAACCCCCACTGGGGATAGAGCCTGCAACCCAGGCATGTGCCCTGCTTGAGAATTGAACTATGACCTCCTGGTTCCTAGGTCTATGCTCCACCACTGAGCCATGCTGGCTGGGCCTGTGTGGTAACTTTTGGCCACTGAGCTGGTCATGTCTGCCAGGTGCCTTCCGAGCGCATCAGGTTTATTGCATCACCACTTTTTCATTCACAATCTGATGACCTCAAGGGGCTCCTCTATGAAAATACTGGCATCTAGCAAACTGAGACAGTCTTGCACTTTTCATTTTTCTGAGTGGACAAAGGCTTATGCTGAGGCTACATACAATGTCAGGCCTGCAGGATTCTAATGGGTCTATAGTTCAGGCCAGAACTAGAATCCAGACACCAACCACCATTTATCGTTTATCTCTTTATTGTTTCTCCTTTTATCAAAACCTGTCACAGCCGGGGGCCAAGAGGAAGTAAAAAAAATTGTCACAAATATGTCCCCTCACCCCCAGTTAGTCCTCCCTCACCCCCCACCCCCACCCCGGGCTTCGGGCCCACCCCGGGCACACATGATCATCTCCCGCCCCCCTCAGCCTTCTCCCAGCAATAAATACAGGTGACTGTGATTCAATGAAACCACAACTGATTTCTCCATCTTGAATGCCCCTCAAGGGGACAAAAAGGGGACAAAATAAGTGTAATGCCCACTCCCACTTAAGAAGTGGAAACTTCTTTCCCCTTAGGACGGGGGGCAGAACTGCCCCTGTCAGAGCTGCAGCAGCTCTAGAAGGAATGGGAAAGAGGAAAGGCTGGAAGCAGAGGGAAGAGAGGGAAGAGGAAGTTCTCCAGCAACCTCACTCGTTTGATCCATTCGCCCCTTCTCAGGTAAGGGGTGGCCCAGTGTGTCGGTGGGACACAAAGGGGAGGGCTGACAGAGGAGAGGCCAGAGGAAGAAATACAGGGAAGCAGCCTGGTCAGGAGGGACGGGGTCGGAGAAAAGGAGCTTTAAAGCTCACTGCCCTCACTTCTTCCAGGGAATGGCACCCAC